TTCGAGTTACAGATAATTAGTGGGCTTTTAGGCCTTCTGAATAATTTAGGCGTCAAAGTGGAAGCGGCTAGTGAATACTTTCCTGTATTTTTAATAACAGCCATTTTGCGATCTTTAAATGGAGACTTTAGTGGAAGAGCAAAATCTCACAGGCTTGTAAGTAATTCACATGTTAAAAGAAGACTTATAGATTTACAGTAAATGATTTACGAAGCCAAAGCGTATTTGGTATGTGCCAATAAAGATATTTAATTCATGAAGGATATACTTACCCACTTACGAAACCTGTACATCTTAACTCAATTATGACGGCTTTTATATTTACCCACCTGCTTGATGGGGTTCTGGGAGTTTTGCTTCTCCCCAAGCCCGGCCCGAGGCCAGGCTTGACTTGTGAGAGTTTGGTCCACCAGGCTGTTGCTTGGAGCGGCCCGCAGGACCACATACCCACCACAGCCCGGTTGGTCCGGCACTCCTTGGAAGAAACAATCTAGTTTTGTATTGAAGATGTCCACGGTTATTCCCACAATTTTCAACTAAAGTGCTTAAATGTTTCGAAATCTTCGCAACACAAGGATATTATTTACATAAACAACCTCCTAGCGCTTCGGAGCTCATAAACTGCTTAATAAATGTAAGCAGGACCACTATCATTGAGGAAAGATGTACAGGTTTCGCAAGTGGTTGTGTAAAATGCCTGATGAACCCTGTCCTTGAACCTTTAAATTTGGAAGTTCACCAGAATTGAGAATCCGTCTGAATTCGATAATCTATTGTCACTTACCAACCCAAACACATGGCGCCTGGTTCACGCTTCTGCTGTGGAGGCCAACCCACACATTTACTGTATGTGTGTGCCAGTATGTTGGTGTCGGTCTATTATGTGGTGTATATGTCGGTGGTGTCGGTCTATTATGTGGTGTATATGTCGGTGGTGTCGGTCTATTATGTGGTGTATATGTCGGTGGTGTCGGTCTATTATGTGGTGTATATGTCGGTGGTGTCGGTCTATTATGTGGTGTATATGTCGGTGGTGTCGGTCTATTATGTGGTGTATATGTCGGTGGTGTCGGTCTATTATGTGGTGTATATGTCGGTGGTGTCGGTCTATTATGTGGTGTATATGTCGGTGGTGTCGGACTATTATGTGGTGTATATGTCGATGGTGTCGCTCTATTATGTAGTGTATATGTCGGTGGTGTCGCTCTATTATGTAGAGTATATGTCGGTGGTGTCGGTCTATTATGTAGTGTATATGTCGGTGGTGTCGGTCTATTATGTAGAGTATATGTCGGTGGTGTCGGTCTATTATGTAGTGTATATGTCGGTGGTGTCGGTCTATTATGTAGAGTATATGTCGGTGGTGTCGCTCTATTATGTAGAGTATATGTCGGTGGTGTCGGTCTATTATGTAGTGTATATGTCGGTGGTGTCGGTCTATTATGTAGTGTATATGTCGGTGGTGTCGCTCTATTATGTAGTGTATATGTCGGTGGTGTCGCTCTATTATGTAGTGTATATGTCGGTGGTGTCGGTCTATTATGAAGAGTATATGTCGGTGGTGTCGCTCTATTATGTAGTGTATATGTCGGTGGTGTCGCTCTATTATGTAGTGTATATGTCGGTGGTGTCGCTCTATTATGTAGTGTATATGTCGGTGGTGTCGCTCTATTATGTAGAGTATATGTCGGTGGTGTCGGTCTATTATGTAGTGTATATGTCGGTGGTGTCGCTCTATTATGTAGAGTATATGTCGGTGGTGTCGCTCTATTATGTAGTGTATATGTCGGTGGTGTCGGTCTATTATGTAGTGTATATGTCGGTGGTGTCGGTCTATTATGTAGTGTATATGTCGGTGGTGTCGGTCTATTATGTAGAGTATATGTCGGTGGTGTCGGTCTATTGTGTAGTGTATATGTCGGTGGTGTCGGTCTATTATGTAGTGTATATGTCGGTGGTGTCGGTCTATTATGTAGTGTATATGTCGGTGGTGTCGGTCTATTATGTAGTGTATATGTCGGTGGTGTCGGTCTATTATGTAGTGTATATGTCGGTGGTGTCGGTCTATTGTGTAGTGTATATGTCGGTGGTGTCGGTCTATTATGTAGTGTATATGTCGGTGGTGTCGGTCTACTGTGTAGTGTATATGTCGGTGGTGTCGGTCTATTATGTAGTGTATATGTCGGTGGTGTCGGTCTATTGTGTAGTGTATATGTCGGTGGTGTCGGTCTATTGTGTAGTGTATATGTCGGTGGTGTCGGTCTATTATGTAGTGTATATGTCGGTGGTGTCGGTCTATTGTGTAGTGTATATGTCGGTGGTGTCGGTCTATTATGTAGTGTATATGTCGGTGGCGTCGGTCTACTGTGTAGTGTATATGTCGGTGGTGTCGCTCTATTATGTAGTGTATATGTCGGTGGTGTCGGTCTATTATGTAGTGTATATGTCGGTGGTGTCGGACTATTACGTAGTGTATATGTCGGTGGACTGCATAACCTAGTGTAGAGGCGGAGGCAGACATAATACAGAGCTTGAAATGTATACATGTAATCCGTCCTCCTAATAGAACGTCGGAGTTTTGACGTAAACTCTACCTATCGTGTGGTTATCTTGAGATGATTTCGGGGCTTAGCGTCCCTGCGGCCCGGTCTTCGACCAGGTCTGTTTTTTGTTACACATCCCCCAGAAAGCAGCTCGTAGCAGCTGTCCAACTCTCAGGGACCTATTTACTACGAGGTGAACAGGGGCATCAGGGTGAAAGAAAATCTGCGCATTTGTTTCCACCTCCGCCGGGGATCGAACCCTGAACCTAAGGACTACGAATCCCGAGCGCTGTTCTCTCAGCCGTGAGGCCCTTAAATTATACCTAATGCCAAAAACTGTCGAACTGGAAAATGGTAGCGGCTCGCGAAATTGACATCCTGTCTAGTTTTCTGTTCGTGGGTCCTCTGGAAGGTTAGGATAGGGCACCTTAGTACGACAGTTTCTTGACGTTGGGGACGCTGGCGAGAACAGGCTGATATGACAAGAGCCCAATAGGCACAAGGATCCTGAACATTAGTTGACTGAGTGTTGAGAGGTGGATCCCAAGAGCCGAAGTTCAACCCCCAGCAACCATAATTTGTTGACTACAACTGCCCTAACCAATCCTGGGCTCCACCCACCTCTGCCCCCACCTACACCACTCCCACCCACTCCCAATTCTGGTCCTTGAGAAGGTTAGACTTCAGCTCCTGGTATCCTCCTCTAAGCTTTAGTTCTAAATATATTACCATAAATATGTTGCATCATATTTTGTACTCTGCAAAGACGTATCCAATCCTCCCACAACAAAAACAAAACACACTAGTGGTTTAATTCACGGCTTCAGACACATCACGATGGGGACCCCAGGCATCTTGACCCCCGACACTCCAAGACTGGGGGCCCCCAGGCATCTTGACCCCCGACACTCCAAGACTGGGGGTCCCCCAGGCATCTTGACCCCCGACACTCCAAGACTGGGGGTCCCCCAGGCATCTACACCCCAGACACTCCAAGACTGGGGGTCCCCCAGGCATCTACACCCCAGACACTCCAAGACTGGGGGTCCCCCAGGCATCTTGACCCCCGACACTCCAAGACTGAGGGACCCCCAGACATCTACACCCCAGACACTCCAAGACTGGGGGACCCCAGGCATCTTGACCCCCGACACTCCAAGACTGAGGGACCCCCAGGCATCTACACCCCCGACACTCCAAGACTGAGGGACCCCAGGTATCTTGACCCCCGACACTCCAAGACTGAGGGACCCCAGGCATCTTGACCCCCGACACTCCAAGACTGAGGGACCCCAGGCATCTTGACCCCCGACACTCCAAGACTGAGGGACCCCCAGGCATCTACACCCCAGACACTCCAAGATTGGGGGACCCCAGGCATCTACACCCCAGACACTCCAAGACTGGGGGACCCCAGGCATCTACACCCCCGACACTCCAAGACTGAGGGACCCCAGGCATCTACACCCCAGACACTCCAAGACTGGGGGACCCCAGGCATCTACACCCCCGACACTCCAAGACTGAGGGACCCCAGGCATCTACACCCCAGACACTCCAAGACTGGGGGACCCCAGGCATCTACACCCCCGACACTCCAAGACTGAGGGACCCCAGGCATCTACACCCCAGACACTCCAAGACTGGGGGACCCTAGGCATCTACACCCCAGACACTCCAAGACTGGGGGACCCCAGGCATCTACACCCCAGACACTCCAAGACTGGGGGACCCCAGAAATCTACACCCCCGACACTCCAAGACTGAGGGACCCCAGGCATCTACACCCCAGACACTCCAAGACTGGGGGACCCCAGGCATCTACACCCCCGACACTCCAAGACTGAGGGACCCCAGGCATCTACACCCCAGACACTCCAAGACTGGGGGACCCCAGGCATCTACACCCCCGACACTCCAAGACTGAGGGACCCCAGGCATCTACACCCCAGACACTCCAAGACTGGGGGACCCCAGGCATCTACACCCCCGACACTCCAAGACTGAGGGACCCCAGGCATCTACACCCCAGACACTCCAAGACTGGGGGACCCCAGGCATCTACACCCCAGACACTCCAAGACTGGGGGACCCCAGGCATCTACACCCCAGACACTCCAAGACTGGGGGACCCCAGACATCTACACCCCCGACACTCCAAGACTGAGGGACCCCAGGCATCTACACCCCAGACACTCCAAGACTGGGGGACCACCCCAGGCATCTACACCCCAGACACTCCAAGACTGGGGGTCCCCCAGGCATCTACACCCCAGACACTCCAAGACTGGGGTCCCCCAGACATCTACACCCCAGACACTCCAAGACTGGGGGACCCCCAGGCATCTACACCCCAGACACTACAAGACTGGAGGGACCCCAGGCATCTACACCCCAGACACTCCAAGACTGGGGGACCACCCCAGGCATCTACACCCCAGACACTCCAAGACTGGGGGACCCCAGGCATCTACACCCCAGACACTCCAAGACTGGAGGGACCCCAGGCATCTACACCCCAGACACTCCAAGACTGGAGGGACCCCAGGCATCTACACCCCAGACACTCCAAGACTGGGGGACCCCAGGCATATACACCCCAGACACTCCAAGACTGGGGGACCCCCAGGCATCTAGACCCCAGACACTCCAAGACTGAGGGACCCCAGGCATCTACACCCCAGACACTCCAAGACTGGGGGACCCCCAGGCATCTACACCCCAGACACCCAAGACTGAGGGACCCCAGGCATCTACACCCCAGACACTCCAAGACTGGGGGACCCCAGGCATCTACACCCCAGACACTCCAAGACTGGGGGACCCCAGGCATCTACACCCCAGACACTCCAAGACTGAGGGACCCAAGGCATCTACACCCCAGACACTCCAAGACTGGAGGTCCCCCAGACATCTACACCCCAGACACTCCAAGACTGGGGGTCCCCCAGGCATCTTCACCCCAGACACTCCAAGACTGGGGGACCACCCCAGGCATCTACACTCCAAGACTGGGGGACCACCCCAGGCATCTACACTCCAAGACTGGGGGACCACCCCAGGCATCTACACCCCAGACACTCCAAGACTGGGGGACCCCAGGCATCTACACCCCAGACACTCCAAGACTGGGGGTCCCCCAGGCATCTACACCCCAGACACTCCAAGACTGGGGTCCCCCAGGCATCTACACCCCAGACACTCCAAGACTGGGGGTCCCCCAGGCATCTACACCCCAGACACTCCAAGACTGAGGGACCCCAGGCATCTACACCCCAGACACTCCAAGACTGGGGGACCCCAGGCATCTACACCCCAGACACTCCAAGACTGGGGGTCCCCCAGGCATCTACACCCCAGACACTCCAAGACTGGGGACCCCCAGGCATCTACACCCCAGACACTCCAAGACTGGGGGTCCCCAAGGCATCTACACCCATGACACTCCAAGACTGGGGGTCCCCCAGGCATCTACACCCCTGACACTCCAAGACTGGGGTCCCCCAGGCATCTACACCCCAGACACTCCAAGACTTGGGGTCCCCCAGGCATCTACACCCCAGACACTCCAAGACTGGGGGTCCCCCAGGCATCTACACCCCAGACACTCCAAGACTGGGGGTCCCCCAGGCATCTACACCCCAGACACTCCAAGACTGGGGGTCCCCCAGGCATCTACACCCCAGACACTCCAAGACTGGGGGTCCCCCAGGCATCTACACCCCAGACACTCCAAGACTGGGGGTCCCCCAGGCATCTACACCCCAGACACTCCAAGACTGGGGGACCCCCCAGGCATCTACACCCCAGACACTCCAAGACTGGGGACCCCCATGCATCTACACCCCAGACACTCCAAGACTAGGGTCCCCCAGGCATCTACACCCCAGACACTCCAAGACTGGGGGTCCCCCAGGCATCTACACCCCAGACACTCCAAGACTGGGGGACCCCAGGCATCTACACTCCAGACACTCCAAGACTGGGGGACCCCAGGCATCTACACCCCAGACACTCCAAGACTGGGGGACCCCAGGCATCTACACCCCAGACACTCCAAGACTGGCAAGCTGTGTTAAATACAGAGTTGGTTTAAAAGTTTCATTTAGCGGCTCGTGCAGTAACAGCCGAGCTGTGAGTGTGATGATAAGGTCTTACTTGACTAATGCTTCACTGTTCACAAGCCGCGTGATCACGATAATTAATTTTGTTCATCAAGTATTCTAGATGGTCTATCCGGCGTTGCCCGGGTCTTTCTTTCCCTCTCCCTCCCTCCTCGACAACTCTTCAATCTCCCTTTATCCCCCTTCCTCCCCTCTTCCTCTTCTTACTCCTCTCTATCCCTCCCAACCTTACCACTCTCCCCTTCCCCTAACCCTTAACCCCTTCCCCATCTCTCGAAACATGCAACATACGTTATTTTTACTATTATTACATTGATGCAATGTTGTAACAACGTTCTGTAATGAACAGCTGAAAAACTGTTGCAAAACTAGAAAACCAGACTATCGTTTCGAAAACCAATTTTGGGAAGGGAATACAGAGAACATATACGGCACGCATAGACGTGATAAAGCACCTAAATTATAGAGATCGTCTCAAAGCTCTCCAAATGTACTCACTAGAAAGGAGACGAGAGAGATACTAAATAATATACACGTGGAAAATACTGAAGGGCCAAGTACCAAATCTACACAGTAAAATAACAACGTACTGGAGTGAACGATATGGAAGAAAATGCAGAATAGAACCAGTGAAGAGCAGAGGTGCCATAGGCACAATCAGAGAACACTGTATAAACATCAGAGGTCCGCGGTTGTTCAACGTCCTCCCAGCGAGCATAAGAAATATTGCCGGAACAACCGTGGACATCTTCAAGAGGAAACTAGATTTATTCCTCCAAGGAGTGCCGGACCAACCGGGCTGTGATGGGTATGTGGGCCTGCGGGCCGCTCCA